AAATGGAATTTTCTAACAATTTGTAACGATTTTACTTTACTATATTTCATTTTGAGTATTAAAAAGCAAAGAGCAAAGATAAAAGCAATTTCAGCGTCGCCAGATGCTCCAGAGCCCGCTGAAATACTTCACCGGCGGATATGGCTCGTACGCGACGGCCACCGTGCACAAGTGAGTCATTTTCTCAGGTTAATTTCTGCCTTTATGACATTTTGGTAGTTTTATATATACTTTTAAGGGGCGCCTTGTGCCAAGTCGTCGACTTGATCGACTTCTTTTTCGTGGCGCATCCGGCCAGCGGCCGGCGCGAGGGCGAGGAGCACAAGCGCGTCATGTACTTCTACACGCAGCCAGGCGCACCGCCCGATTTGAATCGACAAGTAAGTTTGGATCGGATTTAATAGATAGATTTGTGTAATAGAACGATGAAAAAGCGGGTGCTGGTACTTATCAAGTTGGGGGGGGGGGGGGGGGGGCCACTTTGGGTACATATTAGGAGACACTTTTTTATCGCTTTTTCGACTCTTTCTGGGGTAGTTTTTTACGCTGAGTGCAAATAGAGCCGCAACAGCATGCGAAACGGTTGGGTTTATCCAGAAAAACAGTGTAAAACTTTATTAATAAAAGGTGCACTTATGCGCAATTTTAGGCTTGCCGCATTGTCAGGCAAGGTGGGCCGTCGCTTCGGATGGGCTGCCGCTCCACTCTTTCGAAATCAGGGCGCCTGGGCGCTACGCGCTCCTCGGGCGCCCCGATTTCGAAACCCTGTACGGGCTCGCACCCATCCGAAGCGACTAGGCCCCGGGTGGCACGAAGCCTTAATTTTAGGCTCAAATTGGGTGTAAGCATTTCTAAATCTTAAAAACGTTTAGATAATTGTGTTTTACTACGCTGATTTTGTTATATCAGAAACCAGCACGAAAAACTAGCCTAGAAAGACTCAAAAAGTCGAAAACCAAAGTGGCCCCCCCAACTTGATAAGTGCCCGGGTGCTTCCTGGTTATCGGGGGTCGGTTATTTTAGCGGGGGTCGGTTGCGAACTTTTTTCTATAATATCGCACGGCTCGGCTAATTAAAAGCGGGCCGTTTTTATAGACTTGTGCGCCGTTTGAAATGGTTCTGGACTGTTAGCGGGGGAGGAGACACTAAGAAAAACGTCATAAAACATGTTGAAAAAATTTTCTTTTTCGTTCTAACGTATATGAAAATGGCTAAAACCGCGCTATAACCCTAGATTTCGTGACTATAGAATAAATATTTTTATAATTTTTGATTATCGGAAGCTACTAAAAACAGTATTAAAATAAACTACGATTTATCACTAGGCAATTATAAGCTAAACAAAAAGAAGATGCCAACCGACCCCCGATAACCAGGAAGCACCAAAAAGCGCATTAACTTATGCAGAATCAAAAAACGATTTAGACTGAAGTCACCGGTTTCGCTGAAGCGATCGTCAATTTTATGAACGATTTTACAGATGCGTCGTTGATCCCAGAAGTAAGTGAATTTTACGAAACTTTAGAGCTTAAAAATGGAATAAGTTGTAATGAATTTTTTCAATAAACAAACCCCATTTTTCAGGAGGAATTCCCGTATCGTGACGTAGTGACGGAGAAGACGGCCCAGGTCTATGTACAGGTGGAAAACTGCGAATTTTTGATTGGAATCGCATTCGACAAGTGAGTCATAAAGAGGGCAAACCGATTACGAAACAAAAACATTTTTAGGAAATCGTGTAAAGATTTTGAGTACACGATATTCATGCCGACGTTGAGGGCAATATTACTGGAAGCTTATCGGATGTTCAAACTTTTCTTTGGTGAGTCTTGAAAAGAAGGGCAGGCTAGCAGAGATTGTTGAGGAAGAGGAGAGGGCAGGCTAGCAGAGATTGTTGAGGAAGAGGAGAGGGCAGGCTAGCAGAGATTGTTGAGGAAGAGGAGAGGGCAGGCTAGTAGTGATCATTCAAGAAACACAACTTTTCAGGTCCGTTTGTCGACTTCCGGAACAGCGACGAGCAGCTCTTCCGGCAGCGTCTCGAATACTTCTTCGGACGCTACTTCTATCAGCTCCGCCTCTTCAACATGCCACTCCTCAACTATTTCATAGGCGTCGATTTCCAGCCATTGCCAGGTTTTTTTCATTTTGATTTTTTTAACTCGCTCTGGTAGGCCCAAACTTCCTCTGCATCGACACGCTCATCACCGAGACGAAAGAGGCGTTCCCGTGCGTGTCGAAGGCGCTGTTCCTCTACCAGGACAAGCTGTTGTATTACACTGTAAATAAGGCCGATCTGCCCTGTTTATATAGGTAGGCCGGTTTTACGGGGAGCTTTAGAGTATTGTTATCAGGTACCTCACAGAAAATCTGCTCCCAATGTCGTTGAGGGCTGAGCTGGAGCCGAACGCTACCAGGTAGGGGCGGTTTTTCTGAAGCCTAAGCCTAAGCCTAAGTCTAAGTCTAAGTCTAATCCTAAGCCTTTTTCAGAAGCCAAGGCGGAAAATTCCTCACGGGCCCCACCGATCTCCAGACTGATGACCCCGTTCCGGCAGTGAGTGTTATAACTTCATCTCTAAGCCTTGTCTTTATTCAGGAAAATTCCCCACCCACCGTCTTTCTTACGTCACAGGACGGTACCTCCTATGAGGAGCACAAATTGGTAGGTTTAATCTCAACAGCTCCTTGTAACCCTAAATTTCGGACAGGCTAGCAGAGATAATTTTGGAAACTTCCGTTTTTTTCAGCTGGTTTATCGCTCCCTGAACGCCACGGTGTGTCTTTTCATTAATGTGGATGTGACGCGACAAATGATGCGGAATATCGACGGATTTTTGGGGGCCGAGCTGAAGAAGTTGGCAAGTCAAATCGGGGAAGCGTAAGTTTTGAAAATAGCTGCTTTCCTCTGCCTCAACAATCTCTGCTAGCCTGCCCTCTCCTCTTCCTCAACAATCTCTGCTAGCCTGTCCTCTCCTCTTCCTCAACAATCTCTGCTAGCCTGTCCTCTCCTCTTCCTCAACAATCTCTGCTAGCCTGCCCCTCTCCTCTTCCTCAACAATCTCTGCTAGCCTGCCCTCTCCTCTTCCTCAACAATCTCTGCTAGCTTGTCCTCTCCACTTCCTCAACAATCTCTGCTAGCCGCTTCTTTTCAGGATCACGAGCGAGATCAGTGAGCTCCGAGTCTCAGACTTCCACTTCCTCTACTTCAACCCCTCTTCCCTATCCCTACGTACCTCCTTCAACCAGTCCCCCTTGATCGGGATGAGTTCGTTGGGGTTAAACCCAAGTGCCAGCCAGCTCCTCCCTCCCGTCCCGCAGCAAGTCTATAGGTGAGTCGTTTATCGGAATCGTATACGCTATATTCATCTTTCTTACACTGCCTTTAAACATCCCTAACGTCTTCAGAATCGTGTGCGAGACGTACGACCGGCTTTTGGATTCGTCGGAAGACTTCGGGGAGTGTATCGTCAAGGATAGTGCGGATTGGTGGATTGTCATCAAGAAGGTAGTTACGAAAAAATCTATTTACTGTTGATATCCGAGGATATTGGCATACTTTACTGGCAATCGATATTTTTATTTGAACAGCTCTCTTCTAAGTTGCCCTGCTTCAGGTCAACGACCGGATCCTCATCATCCTCCTCCCGCCCTCTGCCAACCTGCCCACGCTGCAAGACGCGTACACGCGTGTCAGCGAGATCATTAAGTCACGATTTCAGGGAATCTTCTTGCTGTGATTTGTTGCATGCTGTACTTTGTTCTCTAAGCCTAACATAAGCCTAACCCCGGCCTTGACTTTTCCTCCTTCACCCAACATTGTGATTCGACCGTTACGGGACCGTCTTGTGTGCTTTGCCCTTTATCATTTTCGATGTCGATAAATATTTATTCAGCATTTTAAAGAAGTCGGGTTACTGTAGAAGCCATTTTGAGGTCAGTCAGTCTTGGGCGAGATTCGGAGGCACGTCGAGCGACGAGCTGCAGCTATCGGCGGCCTGGAACGGAACAGAAAGATTTTGAAAGGGGCTGGAAGGCCGAAAAACTAAGTTTAAGACTAAGCCCAACCCCCGATCACCCACTTTTCGGATCGAAAGCATTGGCGGTGGAGAGCCGGGACAGCGCCGAGTAGGTCGAGGCCGTCGCTAAAGACAGATAAACTCAAAAATTAGCAAAAACGACAAAATATACAGAATGTGCGATTTCTTAGATCGTAAGACCGACGCCTCGGGGTGAAAGGCGAGGCGGTCGACATCTGGGAGAGGCCGCTGATGGTGGAGCGTTGCTCTAAAAACGAGTTTGCTATCACTCTCTCTCTCTCTCTCTCTCTCTCTCTCGCTGTCTTTCTCTCACTCTCACTCCTCGCTTACTCGACTTCCGCTTCGGCTTCATCGTCTTCCCGACGATCGCCGGCGGCTCGCGGTACTTGATCCCGGTCCTCATCGCGTGGCGAGCCATTGTATCAGCCTGAAACGTTGTGAATGATCTTTGCTAGCCTGCCCTCTCTTCCTCACCTTCTCATTGCCCGGATCCCCATTGTGCGCAAAGACGTGCTGGAACTTGACGCCACCCGGGAACTGCTCGGCGATCGAGCGCAGCGTGGCGATCCTATTGGAAAATTGTATTCCGAATAGGAGCCTTGTCCCACTCCGCTTCGTAGCCGCCGGCGCGCCCGTTTAGCCGTTTCACCAGGTTCAGGCTATCGGAGCGGATGATGATGTCCTCATCACTGAAAATTGGGTTCAGGCAGGCTAGCAGAGATTGTTGAGGAAGAGGAGAGGGCAGGCTAGCAGATTTCTCTTAAAAATTCCGTACCAATACTCCGGCCATTTCAACAGCCGTCGCAGCGCCTCGGTGGCGCCAAGCAGCTCGACAAGGTCGCTGGCCCGATTTCCGGCCTCGGCGATGGTAACGCGCTCAGCGCTAAAAGTTACATATAATTTAGCACCGATTAGCTACAAATTGAGAGGGTGTTCGTGGCCGAAGAAGCCTGCGTAGGCCTTGTCGCCGAAGCGGCCGACGCTCGCGTCGGTGTAGATCTGCAAGGAAACGCTCATCCGAGTCCGAAGCCTACGCCTAAACCTAAGCCTACGCTTAACGACCACTCACAACTATCGTATTTTCGGGGAACGTCTCGTTGAACGGGATATCCTGCTGCTTTGTGTGCGAAGGGGAAAAGCCTGAAAAACGGTAGAAAACGCAGGGATCATCTAAACTACCGTATCTGACGGCGGTGTACGAGTGGCGGGCCTCGAGGCTGCCGCTCTCCGTGCTGCTCCCATCGCTCTCGTAACCGGAATCCTGGGCAAAATTTTGGAAGTCTCGGACCTTCAAACTTACGCTGCCATCCGAGTGGCCGCCGGTGGACCCTGAAAATCGTGAATTGCTTACAACGCTTAGAATTTGCAGAACTGGGCAGAGATTGCTGGGCCTAAGCCTATGCCTAAGCCCAATCCTAAGCCTAACCCTAAGCCTAACCTATATATGGGTCGGGGCCTGCGGGCGCCGCCAAATGCCCCTCTCGAGGAGCCTTTTGGGGGCGTCTTGGGTGGGGCCGGCGGGCGCCGTGGGTGGGGCATTTTTCCGGTATGCAGCGATGCAAATTGTGAAAAAACGCTTTTCAGATGACTTTTTGCAATTTACATCGCTGCATACCGGAAAAATGCCCCACCCACGGCCGCCGGCCACGACGCCCCCAAAGGCTCCTCGAGAGGGCATTTGGCGGCGCTCCGACCCAGATACTAACCTAACAAACCTAAGCCTAAGCCTAAGCCTAAGCCTAAGCCCAAGCCTAAGCCCAAGCTCAAGCTCAACCCTAAGCGAAGCCTACGCTTAAGCCTTAGCCTAGACAACGTTATTACAAAAAATGTATTTACTAGCAAGAGCGGGCTCCTCCGTCTTCTTCGCCCCAAAGAATATGGTCAGTAGCTTCGAGTAGAACTTCATGTCAGCGGGTCAGTGGTGAGAGAAAATGATGAAAAATCACATAGCTTTTCACGATACTGAGAATTTATTCGATCAAGTGCTGCATGCAAATTACGTTTGATAATGACAGCCTTCATGCCTGATAACCAGACCAAGTAGCCCTTTACGGCCTTTCATACAACTTTTTAGGGTATGAAACATTTCTCCAAAAACGACCAAACCGTGTTTTTTTGCACCGGCTGCCGTACGAGCCTGGACAGGAATGGACACCACAAAAAATAATTTCAGTTTGTTCCGCTATTTGTATCAGCGTGGCGTCTCGTTTCTCTCACCAAAGTGTCTTTGATCCACTATTCAAATCTGCACATCTGCCGAAACGAGAGAGGAAGAAACGCGAGAGGTCGCATCCGTTGGGGGTCGAATCTCTCAAGCTCCATATTTCCTCATCTACGCGGCGGTTTTCTGGATTTTATACACCTTGGCTTGTTCAGCCATGATTTTTCGGCTGAATTTTCCATGCACTTCTGAGAAAATTGCTCGATTTCGATGCTTCCCCTAACGCTTGCAGCGATGTGATGTATTTACAGGATGGACCGACTGCCGAATGCAGCAATTGAATTGGTTCTCGAGCATCTAAATCCGGATGAATTAATCACTCTACACCGTACCACCAAACCCTTTCGGTTAGATTTAAATAATTACCAGGGTTGAAAAGCCGCTTCGCGACTTTTCAACCCTGGCCTCGTCTTGGACCCCATGCTATTCTACCCTTTGCATAATTGTCCTTCATCCAGAAGGCAAAAAAAAATGAAAAACAACCCCTTCTGCCTCTTTATATAGACGACCGCCCACTTCCGGTCTATGCTAATTATTGCTAACAAAGAGGTTTTTAAAAAAACCTAACTTTAATAGCGAAAATGGCTAATTTTTCAAAATCTGATATGTGTGCAGTCATCCCTAGACCATTACGCACCTAATGACGTATCATACGTACCTTCAAATTCATCCCCTATCGAGATATCCTCCGGACAGACAGACGGAAATGGATGCAAAGTGGCACACACACACAGACACTATTTTTTTATATATAGTAGGATCGTTAGATGTGGTCGAAGCCGATTTTATAGCCATCTTTAGACAGTTTATCAATGGGAGGGGGTTGTTACCCGGTCGCATCGATGTCCTCTACTTTGGCCCACTCTGTTTACCCGGCAAATCAGATCAGGTAGGCAATTTGGCATGGGAGTGCAGGAAAAATATATAACAAAATCGAGACTATTTTTATAGTATTTTTACGCAGACTTTGATAGCTCATAAAAAAGTATAAAAATTTTTGACAGTTTTTGGCTTTTGGCCAAATATGGATCCTTTCGCTTATGGCACCAACTTTTTTTATGATCCATTTTTCAAATATAACCAGTGGTAGCGTTTTTAGATAATTTTTTGCTATTACTAAACATGAAAACTTTGCAAAATGGTATTCAAAAATATAAAAATTATCGATTTTTCGACCAAAATTTCGATTTTCTTAAAGTTTTTAGATAGTTTTTCTAATCGAAATATACTGAAAAACAAAACTAAAAACACTATTAAAACGCTTCGAACGTAACTGGATGCGTAGATGGCGTTTCCCGCCGTGACTATGGCGGTGATGGGACGTGGCGAAGCGGGTTTCTGCGCTGCTTATCCCAAGAAAAAGCTCTACCATTTGTATGGAAAGAGGTATGCCTTCCTAAAAAAATAAAAATAAACAGGTTAGATTTGAAATAAATTTTTGGAACCAGAAACAGAAATGCAATGGCTTCTAGGGTGTGCAAAGATGGGGAGTTGCCGGATCGATGTGACGCGGCGGGAGAAGAGATCCCTTTTGCGGAATACACGCTGGCGGAGAGGCAAATGTTGAAAAGCCGCATGCGGTACCGTTTCTTTATATTTGTTTTGGTATGATGATTGGCTTAAGTGCAATTACCGCCCCCCCCCCCCCAGCCGACCCCCACCTACCGTATTTCGGCACCCTGTTCATTTACAGGTGTGTAAAGTATACCAAAATACTCGCCAGAGCAAGACAAACATGTTGGTATATTTTACACACCTGTAGATGAGCTGAGAACCAGGCGGCAGTGGGTGAAAGACGGCTCGAAATGGCACTCTAACCAGATGATTATAAGGTTCTTTCGCAATCTAGGGGCAGTGTTTTTAAAATATTTTTGAAATATTCCTGAACGTAAAAAACTTTACGAATTTTTCTTAAAAAAAAACAAAAGAATGTCTATTTTCGGTTAAAATAAAAAAAACCAAAAAAGCTATTAACGAAGTGTTTTTTGATTGTTTTTGTACCTGAAATACAGTTCATTATCGTAAAAACACCATGAAAGTTTTACTATTCCATCACTAGGCAATGGCTTTCAGGCGATACCGTATGAAGAGCGAGCGTTATTTCGAGCGCTTGACCCGGATGCTCACCCGGATCCGAGCCGTTCGAATACTCGAACTCTGCCCTGGAATTTTTTGGACCCCGGTAAGACGCTTTTTTGGTATCGAAACTGGCGGGTCGCTGTTGGCATTTGACGGCGAGATGGGGTTTTCGGCGACTTATGTTCATTTTCATAGAATCATTTGCCTAAATTCATTTTTCCTAAAAGCCATTTTCCTAAAAATAGTTTTGCTAAAGTTCATTTTGCCTAAAAATTGTCGTGTAAATATGGATGCGTAAAAATATCAAGAAACGCCAAGTGTGCTCATTTTCGGTTATCAAAGCATTTAGTTGGCTTATACAAAACTTTTATCTTCTTTTTATTGATACTTTTCACTGCCAATATACCAAAATCTAGGCTAAAGCACTAGTAAAATAGTTCCCACGACATTATTAAAGGGATGCCCAACCTTTTCGGGGCTCAAAAAGCAAAAACCAGGCCGCGGGCGGGGGTCGAACCCGGGACCCCCGTTTTGTAGGCCGGGCTACTATCCATTAGGCCATAGTGGCCAGCCATTGCGTGGGATGGGGAAGCCACAAGTGGGAAAGGTGTCCGAATTCTGTGCGGCAATGGCCCGCCATTGCCGCACAAAATTCACGCGTCATTTGTACTGCCCGGGATCCATAACTATATATTTGCCGGCCAAAACCTTGGATATCCCTTTAAGCATAGCTGAATTTATTAGAAAAAATTTCGATGCGCCATTCACACTACGGAAGAACTGAGGCCTTTTCGATATCTAGCCGGCTTGAGAAGATGAACGTTAGGAAAAATCGCTGTTAGGAAAAATGCGTGCAGGAAAAATTATTTTAGAAAAAATGTCAGTAATTCGTTTTCGGTGGGGGGGTTCTCCGCGAAGTTGTTTTGGTAAAGTGGGTTACGGCGATACCTTCAAGCAATACCTCTCAGACCGCGAGTTGGACGCCATATGAATTGGAGGCCGGTCACCTGCAGCAAGTGGTGAGCTGGATCAGGTGACTACCATTAACACGGCGCTTTAGGGGCCGCCACCGGATAGCACAAAATATGAAAATGGACGTCGTCTTCATGTGAGTTCGGGGGTCAAAGTTGCTATGGGCACGGGGATTTTATTTGATTTGGTTGTTTCATTGATAAGCCGCTTGTTTTCAGATGGCGAATGTGTTGGGTTCAATTCGAGCCATCGGGGAGTGTCTACTTGGGCCGCTTACTCTGGAAACGTTCCCAAAGTGTTCCCGTTTATCGGCTGTCTCCCCGACGTCTTGAAAGTTCGCCACGTACGTCTCATACGGTACATACGGGGAAAACGCCAGAATCCCGATCGCCAAAATCCCGACAGTCGAAATCCCGACAGCCAAATACCCCAGATTTTAGAACCTTTTCTGGGTAAAACGGCCGGCAATATCACATTTTGGCTGTCTGTACTTCGGGGTCTCGGATTTATGACTGGAATTCGTCACTTGTCTCCTTTCAGACAAGTGTCCTCGACGCATGGCTGTATGAGCGATGGCCGCAGGTGTGTTTTTAAATAGTGTGGCACGTCGTTAATACTATATCAGAAAGACCAAATACTGCTGGAGTGGCGCCAGCAGTTTTGTGCGCCGTGGAACCGTCGAGCCTTCTCGTGGCAGACGCAAGATCTCAACGAGGCCGCGCTAATGATCAGTGTACGCCAGAGAATTGCTTATTCAGACACGAACAGCTGCATAAATTCAGGGCGATCCGCGAGTCGTTTGCGTGGTGACAGCTCACGCGGTTTCCGTTCCTTTGAACCTCGTCAAAAATGCGTAGATTAGTTTTTATGGCGTGCAATGTAACTGTAAAAGGAAAAATTCGTGAAACCAGGAGATGCTGGAACATCGAAGCGGATTGTCCTGATGGGAGGATGTTTACGGTATCAATTGACTATTTGGATAGACGGCGGCCACCACAGCATATTGTAAGTAGCCAGAGTGAGAGAGAGAGAGAGAGAGAGAGAGAGAGAGAAAGAGAGAGAGAGAAAGAGAGAACGAGATCGAGATAGGGAGAGCGAGACATGGAAAAGCCGTCACGCGCAAATTTCAGGATGTGGCGGCCCAGGTTGAAGCCGTGACACTGCTGGAACAAGATTCGGACGCCGCCCTTCATCTGCAGGCTATGTTTCAGAAATATCTTGCCGAGGTCGATTTATGTAGCCAATGTGCTCACAAAAACTTCAAAAAATTTCAAGATACACGAGCATTGTGGGGCGCAAAGCCTAAGCCTTTGCCTAAGCCTAAGCCTAAGCCTAAGCCAAAGCCGAAGCCTAAGCCTAAGCCTAAGCCTAAGCCTAAGCCTAAGCCTCAGCCTAAGCCTAAGCCTAAGCCTAAGCCTAAGCCAAAGCCTAAGGCTAAGCCTAAGCCAAAGCCTAAGCCTAAGCCTAAGCCTAAGCCTAAGCCTAAGCCTAAGCCTAAGCCTAAGCCTAAGCCTAAGCCAAAGCCTAAGCCTAAGCCTAAGCCCAAGCGTATGCCTAAGCAACTCCCGGTTTTCAGGAATACGGCCCCGAGATTGACACGATGTGTTTCCGGTGCGCGCCTCCGAACGCCGGTCAGTGAACAGAAAGGACGCGGATTTCCTAAATTGGCAATGCAATTTTTTGATAGGCAAAAATCAAGGTCTGCCGAAAAATACATCAAGTTCGTTGGATACCTAGACCGCAAAAATAGAACAGTTTGCGGACGGTTAGGAGGGATTTTTGAAATACCGATAGTTCCCTGAAAGCCTTGTTCAGATGTGGTGCTGATGACCCGGAGGCATCGTGTTAGACGCAGAGGTGCCAGGCTCTATGATGAAGCTCGTCACGACGAGCTCGACCATGTCACCATGTCGATCACAAACTTCCCCGCCTCGAGATGTCATTAAAGACGTGGATCCTCTGTTTACTACTCTGTACCTAAGCATACGCGATACTGCCTCCACTTCCGTTCGACGTTTCAATACCTTTAAATAAACCGTTCGATGCCTTGGATTTGCTTCCGATTCCGATACTAACTTTTTCCTTCCCGGGGGAACCTCAAGTCGGCACGGTGGAGTTAGAAATACGCTGGCGACTACCTTAGGTAGCTAACGTACCTTAGGTTTTCGTTAACGGCGGTTCAACGCTCCAGTCAGAATTTCCTCGATGCACCTGTGGACAAGGATGCAGCACTTCCGGAAAAGCACGATTGTAGCTTTTCAATCATGAATCAGGATTATCATGAAAAGCACGACACGACGAGTCCCTCATCGGGCGTGCCTTCCAAGGCTGATTTCACGAGAAATCAACCGTGCAAAATCATGTTTGGTTATGCATCTGAAAGAGCATCAAAAATAGTGCCGAAAAAAGTTTAATACGAAACCTGGGAGGCCCTGGTGTAGTTGCTAGGATTTTCGAAATCTACACTTGTATAAAAAAGTGTTTGTCACTGGTCTTTGTTAAGTGTTTATCCAACCGTATTTGCAGAGAATCTAGAAAAATCCGATTTTCTAAATTTTGGAAAAATGTGGATAGTTTTTCCCAATTTAAATGGAGCCAATACTCAGATCATCATCAGATCCTTCTGCTTTTTTTGTACTTTTTTTTTCTAATCAATTTCTGCCGGCCCCTTTGTCAGCCTAACATCTCGGTGTTTTCTGGGTCGTGTGCTTCATAAATTCCGCACGACACCCTTTGCCGTTTAGCCGAGTCGTGTGAGGCGTTGCTACCTCGCCGCGTCTACGCCATCCCAAATCGACCGTACTCTTTTCCCGATATTTCGAAGCCAGTCGCCGGCTTCTATCGCGTGCTCGCTTCTTGCGCCTACGATCGATTGGATGTACTGTAAGATGCGCTGCGCCATCACCGTCCTCCCTCTGCCGTTCAGCTACGTTGCGGCGTTTGGAGAAATGTAAGGAAAACGGCTTCTGGTAATAGCTCCAAATGTACTAATATAATTTTTAGT